ATACTTTTACGAGGGCAGTCTCCGTGCTGTGGTGAGCACGAAAACCAGACTGGAAAGTGTCAAAGCAGTTGGTCATCATGAGGAAACTATTTAATTGTTTACACACAGTTTTTTCAATAACTTTGCTGATGAATGGGAGGTTTGAGATTGGCCTGTAATTCTGCAATAGTGATTTGTCCAGGTTGTTCTTTTTTAACAGTGGTTTGATGACTGCTGTTTTCAAGGCCTGGGGAAAAGATGTAGCAGCGAGGTCAGTAAATGTGTAGGTCTACCAGCTGTTGCGAATTGCTGCTGGCTAGTCTGAAGGAGCAGAGTGGAGGAGCTGCTGTGTGAGGCAGAAGCTTGGAAACTTGGAAACTTCTGCTCTGGGGAGGAGTTTTGTCCTCAAAGGGGGAGCTAGGTCCATCCAATTGTTTTGTGCAGCTTTATGGTTGCCATGTGAGATTAAAGAATCACTCAAACAAGCACAAAAGAATCAAGGTAACACTCCAAGTTTGTTTGCAATGAGAGAATGACATTATAAGATTATGTAAAGCTAAAAACTGAGATTTTACATAACACTGCCCCCATAAAACAATTGTAAGAACACTGAAGGCCAGAGGCTGAATCTAACTCAGAATGTTTTTAGCATTCTTTGCCCTGACTGTGGACCGTGATGGATTTAGATTCAAACTACCTATTTAATGACTCAGAAAAGACACTGGTAAATCCAGATGAGGCTCTCTCTGGGATGATTTAATCCCCCCAATCTGAGTCATCTGTTATAATGAGGTAGCCCTCAAAACTTCTGTAATCCAAAACAAGGTGAGTGAAGCGGCATGGTCACATTAAGGCGCGTGTTTACCAGAGAGATCTCTGTCCCCAGAACAATAAAGGATGACGCAGCGATGACGGCAGCAGTACAGAATGGAGGACTTGGTGAATTTTTAGCGTGGTCAGAAAGGGAATTAGATCAACAACAGCCGCGTGATTCGTCGGGAGAGTGCTTCTTGAAAATATGAGCTTTCAGGTTGCACCAGCCATGGAGCAAATGTGAAGTCCTGATTGAGCTTATTAAGCAAATTATCCAATTAGCCAGTGTTTAATTTCCCTGTTAAGCATGACTTTACACAGTTAAGTGAAAGGAGGGGAGGAATTATGGGAGCAGGATAATCATTCCTGCCTCATTTGTCATCGTAAAAAGTTTTGATGGCATTTTGCAGAACGAAGCAATTTAGCTCGACGTGAAGAACATAAAAACAAACAGCATCAGCATTTTGCTCCCCTTTGTGTTTGCTGGTTTTATAAGGCCACGCATACTTACACGTGTGAGTGTGTGACTCCGTGTGGGGCGGGGGATGATCGGCGGCTTTTGGCTCATGTGTGATAAACATAAAGTCTCAGAGAGGGAATTACTGTCCACCTGTTTACCATTCGCTCCGAACGGTCAAAAGTGTGAGGCAATGGAAAGAAAAGCATCAACAATTTGGCTTTTTTTTTTAAGTATGAGGAAGGGGTTTGCTGTGGGTGGTCTGATGTGAAGGAATGAGAAGGTAGTTTTCTGCTGACTTATTTTTTTAATCATCGCTTTGCTGTTGATTGTACCTGCTCCAACTACTGCTATGGCTCAAATTCTCCCCACACCCACCTTTTTCTACCTCTATTTATTTATTTATTTAAAAAATCTCAGTGCCAGTCTTTTTCTCTGAGTGGTACTAAGCCCTTTTAGATCTGGAATAAATACCAAGCACAATCCTGAGTGACTAAAAAAAACAAACAAGGAAGGACAAAAAAACCCGATAAAACGAGGGAAATGTCTGGGAGCCACGGCCTGTCAAGGTAACATTAGGAGGTGATGTTGGTCCGTGGAATTGAATAAAGCCCCTCTGGCGTGTGTGTGTGTGTGTGTGTGTGTGTGTGTGTGTGTGTGTGTGTGTGTGTGTGTGTGTGTGTGTGTGTGTATCTAAGGGGTGGAGTGGCTTCTGACAGGACTGAGATGTAAGGTCATTTAACCACTGAGGAGGCCTGACAGAAGATGATGCTGATTGATTAGGAGGAGAGAAAAGACGAATGAGTAAAGCCAGTTGAGTGAGCAGGACGGGGTGACAGGTGGTGTGAAAGGATGAGGCGCTACTAGAAGAGCTTTAGGAAAAGTTCGAGCTGCAGTGGCTTGTAAAAGTGTTCACAGTGTTGCAGGCAGTGAACATTGGCTGCACTCATCTGTTCAGCTTCATCCAACTCCGTCTAAAACGTCTGGTTCATTTGGGGAACTTTGGTCTGCCTAAATATCTAGATCTCGGTTCGATTAAAGTGAACTCTGGCACGGTTCCAATGCTGTTGTGAAAGGTGAACACTCCAAAAGCAGGAAAGGGACTGTAGCGCAATACCAACATGCGAGTCCAGGGTTAGCAGAAGAAATGACTCGAAAGAAATCCTTTTTCTGAAGATGGACGTTGTGCTCAGTGTCTTTAGAGATTTCCCTGTTGTTGGTAGTTATGGTGCAGAAAGTAAGAGGATGAACAGCTTTGGCTTGTTTGACTTTTTGCGGTGTGAAAGCAAACCACAGCAGCTTATTGTAACAAATGTTGCAACTTTGGTCCCAATCGAACCGAGACTACCGGACGATCAGGTGTGAAAACACCCTCAGAAGTCACCTCTACTTGTTAATTAGGTGATTTCAGAAGTTAAAGAAAGGTTCGGGACCTCAGTGAGCACTGCTCAATCCATCATCTGAAAATGGAAAGTGTGTGGCAAACCTACCAAGGTGTGTCAGTCCACCTGAAACTGACAAGTAGGGCAAGGAAAACATTAATCATGGAAGCAGCCTGGAGGCAGGTGGTAAGGCTGAAGGAACTGCAGAGATCCACAGCACAAACAGGAGTATCCGCTGACAGGACGAGAATTACTGATGGATTCCATAAATCTGGCTTTTTTGTAAAAGTGTCAAGTCATAATGAGGAGAAAAATAAAATGCGCAGTTTGGCACAAATGATGGGGGAAACAGCAAACATGGAAGAATGTGCTCTGATTACATTTAGTGCAAATGTCTTTTGTGTACATTTAAGTACAGTAACATATAATGAACTTTACAGGAAGATATATGAGCTTGTTTCAAGTCAATAATTCCTTAATATTAATAAAGGTACTGGTTCCATTGGCAAATTATTTCACTGGAAAAATGTCTTAAGTGAAATAATTTGGCAGTGGAACAAGAACTTTACATTAATATTAAGGAATTGTTTACTTGAAACAAGCTCACATAACTTGCTAAAAAGTTGTGTATGACTTAGTTTTATGTAATTTCAAGTGATCTAAGATATTTACACTAGAAACCAGACAAAAAAATAGGTGATATTTTATGCTTTTGCAATGCAACAGCAAAAAACCTTGTGACAATGTTGTTGGCTCTGAGGACGACCCAAAACAGACAGAGGACAGATGTTAAATATAAAAATAAGGTTCAATAAGTGAACACAAACTTGAAAAGACCAAAGGCTAGAGAAAAATACACAAACCGAACGCTACTCAACACGGTAACTCAAATACAAAGTCAGATAGGCAGAAAGAAATGAACAGATTAAACACGTGATACAGCAAAAAATTGTGTTGAATTGCCTTTTAAAAGCTTCACAAATTGGAAACCATAATCAGAAGCTAATTGTAATAAACTGTAATAAAGCTTAATTTAGTTTGAGTTTTTATCAAGGTCTGATTGCCATCAGATAAGGGTATTTAATATTGGCCATAACAGAAAGGAGACTCAGTTCTGTGTAGTTTGCAAAAAATAACGAGGCCTCTGTTGACATATAAGGTGATTGTAGGCTTCACTGTGAATTGTGTTTAAAGTCATGACTCTAAAGTCGTGTCTCCTCCATTGAATCTGTGGTAAAACCAGTGTTAACACACTTTTAAACAGTTAAGTAATTTTTAAGTAATTAAAATGACTGTATTGGCATCTTGAATTCCTGTATTATATTTGAGCAAAGGAGCTAAAATAAGACTTGGTTCATTTTTAAGGAGTCCAAGCCTTTGCCAGACATGTCTCCATCATATAATGCATCATCTACTAGAAACTTTGGGAGTTGCGAGTGAGGCTGTCCTTCACATTCTTGAGGTAAAAAATTTATACTTTTTCATCATTACACTGATTACAGTCCCTACAATGTGGTTTGTTTTGTGATTGTTTTTCTGTCTGTGCTCCAATTAGCAGATGTCCCAAGAAGTTCAATCAAACAAGACCATTTTTCAGCTCTGCGGTGATCGTAAAGCCAACTCCCTCCTGGCCATTAGACCCATGCCTGTCCTGATCTTCTGAAAGGAGGACTTATAGTGTGATGTACATCATAGTGTGCTGCTACACCTTTCAAAAGGGTGTAGCTGATTAGAAGAAGTTCATTGTGGAGAAAGCTCCTATATTCATACTGTCGATGTCTAATCCCAAGATTTTTTCTTTTGCATTGGACAATTTGGTTTGCTTGACTCTTGCGGCATGTTAGATCTTCATTGTTCTGTCATTTTACAGGATTGTTTCAGAATCAGACGTCCTGACCAGCAGTCACGTTTGGTTGTGTGAAACTTAAACATAATAAAGAAGTGAAAAGTAATTGAACTCATAAATTCATTCCAACAGGGAACACTTTTTGGATTTTTGCATGAACATAAGAACCTTGAGTAAAATATGCAATGACAAAACATATATTTGAATTTTTTGTAACAATAAAAGTAAACTAATTTTAGATGTCTCAAGAAATCCAATGTCAAGTTACATTTTCTTTACTTGAGAATATTTTTCTTAAAATAAGATAATACATCAAATTGGCTTGTTTTCAGTAAAAATACACTAATTATAAGATCTTTGTAGATTCATCTTGGTAACATATTTTTTCTTGTTTTGGAAAATCTTGACAAGATAAATATCTTTTTCTGTTGGCGGATAATTTTTCTTATTTTTTTAAAAGAAATTACACCCTATTTTTGTCCTTTTTTTTCTTGTGTTTGAAAGGGGAGTTTTTGCAGCGCACCTTGAGAGGTTTGTGATTGCGCGGGACCGTCTCCTTCTTCCCCAGAGCGATGGGCTGCTGGTTGGCCGCTGTGAGCTGGTGCCTCTGGAACACCAAAGCCTCCTTAAACTCCTCCTGTGTCTTTGTCTCCAACAGCTTCTGCCTGAAGGAGATGTCAGAGAAAAGGGTGCCAAACGTCCTGCCCAGCTCCATCGCTGTCTTGGTGCTTTTCTACAAGTGACAGAAAAATGACAAAACACTGATTGTATCACACGGGCTGTCACAGCGTTTTAAAATCGGCTTCAATTATTATTAGATTAGATTCTTTTACAACAGGGCCAGACTAAGATATTTTTTTTAAATTATGTCATATTAGCACAACAAAAGACACAATATTCCCATTAGAAAGTCATGGAATTAATAGAAAAAAATGTTTTAATGAGAGCAAAGCTTTGATAGTTTTGACCAGTCTAGTCCCTGATTCTTTCCTCAAAATACTCAGTAGTTTGTACCATCAAAGACCTGCTTCTAATGACAATTTGATGCTGATGTGTTAAAATATTAAGTATACCATATTTATACAGTTGACACCAAAATATGACTTTCACAAAAGCCTCAACATTTCCCTTTGTTTAAGTCAACTTTTTACAGCAGAAGTTATAAAATCACCATTTCATTCTCTTTGTGTTGCTTCTTTATTCTGGTAGCATTTTGAGTTTATTCCTGCATCATCAAGACTTTATGCTCTATGACAACTTTAATCTCAAAGTTAATATTTTTTGTTAGTCTGGCACATTTCACTGATACAGAAAACTCCAAATGGTTAGATTACGTCACAGCGCTCCATAAAATACTACTTTTCATCATAAACCATTTGAAAAAATGATTTAAGTAGAAAAATAACATGATTTATTAGTAACCAAGTTGAGTTATGAGTAAACTGATTAAACTGATATTAAAAATAAAAGAAATGTATTTCATTAGATTCTTTAAAATCTAAGTAATAAAGTATATTTTCATTTTAAAAGCTACCTGATGCATTTCGCTGTGTTGCTCTAGGTACATGTTTCACACAGGAAGAAGACTGGCGGCCTTCATTTTCTGTGTCAGTAATGGCTGACTTCTGTTCCGACGCAACGACAGTTTAAGCATTACTCAAACACCTTTCGAAATAAACTCCTATCTTTTTGGATTGAAATCGCCTCCAATTAGTTAGCAAGTTTAGCCAAACGTAACTGAGTGCAGCGAAAGGAAGCAACAACCTGAGCTCGCTGCGCAGCTCCAGCTTTTTACTTGATCCCTTCTGCAGGATAATGGGTCATGGGAGAATGAGGGAGGACTTGAGAGGCATCAACAGGAAACCAGAGACCATTTGTGCCCACATTTGTGCAGTGACCTGACTCCATCACAACTTGATGTGTGTGCCGTGTTCCACACTGACAGGACACCGATGATGGAGGGAGGACTCTGCATCAGTGATGCCTCATGCTCAGATGAGTCAAGGTGGACAGACGGCATTTGCCAGATTTCGACTTCTGTTTGATACTGGAGTTCTGAGACGTTATTTTTTGCCGCAGCATTAGGGATGCCTTTCTTAAGATTATTTTTGATTCATTTGGATGCAACGAATAGAACAGACCGTCTGAATGAGAGCCTTCAGCCGTCGCGTCTTACTTAGATATTTGCTATGGCAATTTAAGATAAGATGAGAAACAAAGTGATGGGAAAGGGTTAAAAGTCCTTTTGGATGTTTTGGCTCTTCATGTGATTTCAAATATCCAATAAAAGTGAAAATATGGAACCGTGGAGAGTCTCCCTATGTGACCTTAAGTTCCACCTTGGTCGGATTATGCAGCAGAGCAAAGATAAAAACCCAACTTGAAATGCTGTGGCGTGACCTTAAACAGACTTGTTTCATAAATTACAATATGGCTGATATAAAATAATTCTGCAATTCCATTAACACAAATGTTTGACGGCAGGTTTTGCAATAAAGGAAATCAACATTTATGTTATACTGTATTTTGGATTTGAATGTGACAAAAGCAAAACTCAAAAACAGAAGCAACCTGTATGGAGCAAACAGTTTCATTAAACGGTACCATTAATTTTGATCTTTTGAGCCATTTGACATCCACTTATGGCCTTTTGAGGCAATCCCTGTGCTAGTTTTGTTTTCAGATACAGAGAAAAGCTCACTTTTAGACAGAAAACTCTGTGTTAAAGTGCTGATTCCAGAACCTGTTTCCAAATTTAAATCTACATGTTGAATTTTGAAGTGAGGTAAAGGTTAGCTCAAATGAAACATTACTGACATCCATATTTGTGCACTTTTTGCTGAACAGCAGGAAAATAAACTGAGATTTCAAAGTCTGCAAAACCTTTCTGAAGGTTTTTGTGCATGTGTGTGTGTGCGTGTGTATGCGTGCGTGTGTGTGCTTTCAGATGTTTTTTTGGCTTCATGCTTTTTGCTTCCTTAATAATCCCTCAAAGTATTCTCAGACGCTCTTGTTGTTTTGAAACCCAGTTTCACCAACACAAACTGTTTTAGATGCATTCTCTTAAAGAAATCATGAAGGAGGGAGAAACTCGCCTTTACAGGCATAATTCTCTTTGAAAACCCTGAGCTGCATACTTGGGCCGGCAGTGTTGGGAAATTGGGAAATCCTGTGAAAAGAGATTTTGGAGGAAAAGAGGCAACTCCGGCTGCACTGCATGTGTGTGGTTTTGTTCTGTAACAACCCCACTCATTTTGATGTAAAGTTCAGCTCAAGAGGAGTGTGTGTGGCCATTATTAAGAAACTACAGCTAAAAGGGACATATTGTTTATAAGTCATATAGAACAATTGTACAAATCTAATCTGCCCTTTCACAGGAGGATGAGTGCATCATGTCAATGTCCGTCTGTAGCGTACACCACAACTTGATGTCATCTCTTGAGGCTAAAGATTGGATTGCTCTGAAGAAGACATTAGTGCCATGACTGGGTGTGTGACCAAGTACATGAACTTCTGTGTGGACAACACCGTCCCCACCCGAACAGTGAAATAAGTCCTTAATATCAATCTCTGTGTCACAAGTGAACTAAAGGAAGTGTTGAATAAGAAAAAAACAAGCCTTCAGGGACTGAGGAGAAAATAGAAGTGGCTCAAAGTCAAAATTAGAGACGGCATTTGATTTCCCTTTGGGATCAATAAAGAATTCCTGAATTTCAATTTGAATAAAAATGAGACATGAGTCAGACTTTTTTCTAGTCTGAAATCTGCTGAAGTCAGACTTGAGGTACCTTCTGCTGCTATGTGTAAAAAGAAAATGTGTTTGTGTGTGTAAGTGTTGTTTCTACGCAGTCTGACCTGTGTGTCGCAGTTGAGTGATTTTGACGAGCATAAAAACCAGTCATCGAGGAGACATTCTCACAGAACATGGATTTCTACAACATATTTTGTCGCATCTTGTTCTGCCTGTTGTGCTCTCTAGACAAAAGTAACCCTGCAAACCCTCTGTCACAGCTCTGACTCCGAGTGAATCCCCGGCATAGAGTCTCCCACTGTGAAGAAAAACACAACAGCCTTATCGAAAAGCAACAGTGGAAAAGGTCCAGAAAAACTGTCACCATATTGTTGTGGGGATGTTCAGCAGTCGCGTGGTAAATGGCTTAAGACGACGCAGTATAAAAGAGGCTGGAACAAAATATTTTGAGGGGACGGTTTTTTTTAAGCTTCTCTATGTGTTTACCAATGTTTCACAGACGTGTGACCGTCTGCCGGTTTCCTGAATGAAATGCTAACAAATCACCTTTAAGTTATTAAGCCAAACTATCTACAAATTAAAAATGTTGACATTTTAGAGGATATTCACCCTGTCGCAAAACCCTACATGAAACTAAGTAATGAAATAATAATAATTTATAAAAAATCAAAATGTTCTTGCATGCTAAATATATTTACTGTGGGCAATTAAGCAAAGAAAAAGAAAAAGAACTCCTCTGGGGGTTTGTTGACTGACTAGTGATGAAAAATGCTCCACCTAGACAGATACAAATTAACATACTTTACATTCGCCACAGAGGAATTCCCATTATTATTATCGTGCCCCTTCAAAGATGTTCTCTTGCAGAGGAAGTCACCATAAAGCATAATTGAGGCGTAATAGGTCTTTGTGTTTAGTTGGGGCTCTGAATAATGTCTCTCAAAATGCTATTAGTGGCTTAGATTGCTGCCTCTAAGACTGGCGAGGAGAGCGCTGCGGGAACTACAAAAAGGAACAAAAATAAATAAAGGTTGGTGTGGGAAAATGAGATATACACCAGAGATGCAAACAAACTGAAAATATATTATAGTTATCTGAGGCATCTCTGATTGCCTTCCCCACCATGCATGACCATACTGGTGAAACTGGCGTTCTTCTTGGTTTGGGCAAATAAAATACTCGAGGACAAAATGAGACATTTTTTTGTTTTTCTGGCAATAAAAGGCAGATATTGGGAGGTGGCTTTCTTGCTGGAATGGGGCAACACTCAGCCTTCTGATGACTGGATGATGTGTAACTGTGAATGCATTTATCCAGGTATGCATTTGTGATAAAAGCTTGAGATGGAGCAGAAAGGAACAGAAAGGTTGAGCTGCTTTATGGCTGCCAGAAATACTTCACATTTTAATGGAACTGAAGGAGATTCTACAATGATAATAATAATAATAAAAATGTAAGAAACAATCTTTAACCAAAAACCTCCCAAATAAATATTTAGATGAAAATTTTAAGCATTATATTGAAATAAACTCTGACTTGCAATAAGCTGCAAATGGGACTCAGATTTTCTTTCACCAAATGGTTTTCATTTTACCATCTACATTTGTCGAGAGGTAGATGACCATGTCACAACAGGTTTTGTCAAAGAATTTAAGTTTTTGAAAGACAGATATCGTTTCATATACGATCTTTGCTTTTAACTTCTCCAAAGCTTCCTCCCAGAACCTTCCTGCGTGTTCCTTGGTCTCCATGATGCCGTTTGTTCTCCAGCGTTTTTTAACAAACAAAGGAGGATTTTACATAACTGCTGGAGTTACAGTCAGACAAATGAGCAAACATTGATAACAGTGCACATTTAGGGTGCATCCCACCAGCCCTGTTTAGTTTGCTTTGATTGAACTCTTGTTTGCTTGCCTAGAAAATCTGATTCATTTGGTGAGGTGTGAATGCCAATAAAGTGAACTCTGGTCTGCCTAAAACCCCAGGTCTGGTTCGGTTGAACAATGGAGCATTTTGAAAGTATGTTTGAATGCCAAACGGACCGGAGTCCATTCCAAAATAGAAAGTGGGCTAAAGCGCAAAGTATTCTGGGTGAATGCAACCAAACAAGGTGTCCGAGTATGGCATTAGTGTGAGAAATTGCTTGCAATCTTTTACCAAAGACAAAGGGGAAATCTTACAACCCTCTAAAATCTGATGCCACTCCATTTTTGTTTTCATTTCATGAGGAATGAAGTTGCACTCAGTGTCTTCTTCAGAGGTTTTCATGTCATTTCCTTCAATAGGAAATGACATGATTTTGGTCCCCAATCCATTAGATTCTATCGAACCGTCAGGAGTGAAAACGTCTCTCAACTTGAAAGTGAGAAATTACATGAGCCAAAAAATGTTGAGAATGGTCAGCCCGACTAGGAAATATAACAAACTTCTAACCTGCTTATTGGCAGAAGTAAGATTTCAATAGCTGTGACCTATGGTCACTGGACAAAATTTGCCAATGTTTGAATACATTTTTTTATTTTTACCTCTTTAGGTAACGGGGGAACATGTAACAATTTTTTTTAGATTTTTTTGTTTTGTTTTTGTAGAAAAACATTTTGCTTTCGCTTCCTTCACGACTATGCTTGAATTTGTGTTGATTTATGACATAAAATCCCAATGAACTTAAGGGGCACGAACATTTTGCAAGTCACTGTAACTATGGAATACCTAATGTTGGCATTTTAAACCATTAATGAAAAAATTCAGTGTTCAAAATGGCTGGTATTACAAAACTGGGAAATCTTACAAATCACAATAATTAAATAAGTAACAGGTCAAAAAAAATATACATATATATGTATAAATATATATATGTGTATATAAATATACACACACAATTGAGAATCATGAACGATAAAATGTAAATCTTGCTGCAGATGTTACCATTTTGGACGGGGCGAGTATCAGGATGACATAGCGGACCTCGCAGCAGTTCTCCCCCCAGTTTTGCGGCCTTTCCAGACGAGAGATACACACATGACGCCTCTGGAGATGTTTGACGTTGCAGCTGCAGAGAGTGGAAGAAGGAGGAGTTTTTTTTTTTTTTTTGCAAATGTCAGTGCCTCAGCCCACCAGCGGTGCCCTTCATTTCCATAGATTAACCTCTTTCCGTGGAGCAACAGTTAGACAGCATTCAAATTTGCTGGCTAGAGTTGTGTTCGCTCACACGTGATCTCACAAACGGAAGGAAGTAAAAAAAAAAATATTAATCTGTCACTTTTCTCAGATCAGAAACCACAAAAAAAACAGCATTATAAACACAAAAGGTAGAATAATAAAAGATAAAACAGCAAATATTTAACATTGTACAGCTCAGAACTGGTTTGCAGCCTGTCAGGATGAATTTTCTTCAGCTTCTTTCTGAAAGAATCAACAGAAGGAAGACATCATAAAGATGAAGGCAGCGGATTCCACCATCTGGGGGCCACCGATCTAAAAGATTTCGCCCCTCTGGTCTTAAAATGTGTTTTGAGGAATCATTAACAGCCCAAGACGGGACAATATCAGATGGCCAGAAAAGCTGTAAGGCTCCAGATAGTCAGAGATAAAGGCTGGGGTTCGACCACATAAGGACTGAAATTTTAAAACGAATTCTAAAATGTGTTGGTTAAAACCCGACTGGAGATGGAAAGCGTAAAAAGGCTTCAATAAGCAAGAGGACGTAAAGCACAGCTCTAATTCAAACTGGCTACACCTCAGAGCCTATAGTTAATCAGAATACTGTGATCAATAGCGTGAAAGACAGATGTAAAATCCAGAAGAAACATTACAGAGGACGCTCCTGAGTCAGCCAACATGAAATTATTAGAAACTTTGAATAAATCAGTTTTTGTGGATCAAAGTTTATAAAAACCAGACTAAATTTCACAAGTTTTTCCATAAAAGAAATGAGCTTTTCTGACACTATTTTCTAGACTTTTAACATAAAGGAGATATTGGAGAAAGGTCCGCAATGTCTTAGATCTAATTATCACTTCTTTGATAAGTGCTTAACAACATCATGCTTGAAAGAACTTTGGACCTGTTCAAAATGATTATTGCGAATTCCTGTAGTACATTATTAGAGCTAATGGCAGGAAACACATTTTTAAAACAATGTCGCAAGCAGGATGTCATTTGGACAGGTAAATATTTTTAGGACATCCTGTAATGATGAAACGTCAGGGGAAAGTTACTGGATCAAACACACTGAGCGACAAAGTTATTCAGCTTAATTCAATAAAACTTGATCCATCCCTGAGGGGCAATTAAACAAGTGCAGAGGGCAGCAGCAGAACATATGAACACACACACACATAACCACATAAAAAAAACTGTTGTGACACATTGATGGACATTATTCCCCTGACGTTATTGACTTTCATAAAAAGGAAAGAAAGAGAGAAAGTCATCACTGTCAGTTTTAGAGGACAAAGATAATGCAGGGTTTCTGGGGAAGCAAGACAGTTTTTTACTTAAAACAGGACCTTAGAAATTTTCTTAAGTATTTCCATTCAGTAAATTTTTATGCATTTATAAGAGAATCAAAGTTTCTTAAGGTGGAGCCTGTTCTGTTCCACCTTAACCCTTCCAGACTGAACGTAGCGCTGATGCCCCAGTGCCACGGTTCCGGTGCAAATTGCACTATCTGAGAAATTCCACTGGTTTCTGAAAGGGGAGATGTTGCACTTTCCAGACAATATCGGGTTATTACTGTAATTTCACCCCCACCGTAGCAGGGAGTGAAATTAATCTGAGGAGCGCTCTTTTAATAGACGGTAAATTGCAAAAATATCTCGCTAGATACTGAATGTTTCAGTTGTTATGGATAAATGGACAAATATATTTACTCACAGGACATTTAAAAACTGCGTAGAACTAAAATAAACAAAAATATCCAGGCGGACATTTGAAACTTAAGTTTCATAGGGTTAAGACAGTTTCTTTGGGATTTCTCAATTGATTTATTTGTCCATGAAGAAGCTTTTTAAAGAGGATTTTCAATGGTACCAGTATGCTAAGGATGTCTGAGTGACAATTACTAAAACGCCAAAGCAACATCAACATTAAAGCAATCCTTCTGTAAAGACAAATCATCAAATCACAAAACATCTGAGCAAAATCCTGAATATTGAATAGAAAATACAGAACAAAAATATAGGATTTAAAAAAATTACATATCACAGCTTTTCTTTTTGCTTTTCCAGTTAACAAGATACATGATGTGGGTTGAAAAGATCTTCCTGAATTCAACAAATCATTTGTGTTCCTGCTTTAAAAAAAGTAGAAACATGACAGTTAGCTGGAAAGAGCCAACAAAAAGCGGCAGACGTTAAAATCTGATGCTATGCTGATTCTCTCCTCCGTGTTGACCCTCTCCCGCGGTGGACTTTAACACTGTCAGCGTCGGCTAACTTCCTCCTTTGCTCTCATAATTACACAGGGAGAGAGAAAGCTCTGTGAGTTGAATATCAATGTGCTGTTTTGAGACACTTGGACAAATGACTGATGCTGTCCTACCAAGCATGAAACTCTTTATAGGGTACATTATCACTACATAGATGCTTTCCGGTTTTTTTTAAAAAAAGAAAAGAAGTGACACACATGAGGTAAATGAACAAAATCCAGTGCAATGGATTCCCTAAAGACGTCGCCTAATTAGCAGATAAAATGCAACTACCAGGTTATTCAAAGCAACATAACAAGCCTTCAGTTATTTCTCTGAGCTCAGTTTAGTTCTCCAGAACATTCCAATGCACCTGAAAAACCTAGAGAGTTAATCAGAGGAGCAGCCAAGATGACCGTCACCACTCTGAAGAACCTGCGAAGATCCACCGCTTAGACGGGACAGTTTGTTAAGAAGTCAACTATTAGTAATACATGCATGTTCTTTATGCAAGAGCAACAGGACGGAGCTGAAGAATGGGCAGAACTTTCAGTGGGGAGGTCAGGAAAGCTGATGGAGACATAAGTCTGAATTCTTGAAAGGTTGTTGCTCAACAACTCAAGAGCTAAACACAAATGCACACCACATATTTCAGATTTGAAACATTTCCCCACTGAAATAGTAATACAGTTACATATTACAGTATTGTTTCAGTATGTTTGAAAAGTCCAGAAACTTTGATGTTTTTGCTCAAATCTTCTCTGTCTATGCTGTGGCCTTTTAGTCAGACGTACAAAAAAAAAAAAAATCTGTATATAGATGCAGTATGTTATTTTTATTAAAAATATATATGGTTTTGCACATATGAATTAAAGCTGAGACAAATAATGTGTGAAAAAAACGCCAGTCTTCTCCCTATTGTCCTACTGCAGAAATGCACTGCTGCCTGTCAGAAACAACCAATCAGAGCAAAGGGGAGGGGCTTAGCGCTGTTAGTGAACCTCAACCTGCTGTGAATGCAAAAGCTAGTTGGCATGAACACTGATGGTGGCAGATAAAGAGCTTTCTTGTAACTGTAATTTATTTCTCCACCATTAGTACCGCTGCTGCACAAACACAAGCATGATTGACAATGCTAAGGCCCTCCTCCTGGCTCTGATTGGTTGTTTTTTGGTTGGGAGCGCTGCGTTTCTTCAGATGACAATAGTCGGTCAGGGACGAAGAGGAGGAGCTTGATTTTTTGATCGATTATCTGACTTCTGTTATACTGTCACAAAATAGTGAAAATTTTCAGAAATATATAAAATTTACATATTAGATGTATGTAATTTCAGGTGCAATAAAAAGCAAAAGCTTAAGAAACACAAATTTGTTTATCTTTTTTGTTTTCTATCAAATTGTGTCAAAATTGAAGCATTTCTTTCATGCTAAAGTTTGAAAACAAACAACTAAAAAGTTCTGGCATCATGCATGAAAATACCCAGACGGAGGAAAAGATGCTTACAGGATGCAGAGCCAGGACTGTTGGTACTGGACCCCGGTGGCCGTCGCCGTCACGCCTTGGATTGTCTCAGACAGCAGATGAACTGCAGGTCAGATGTCAGACACAAGTTAGCTAAAGATAACATTCATTCTCATTGCCACACATTCTTTAGTTTGCCACTCAAGAATATCATTTTTCCAGCTCAGCAGATACGGCTGCTTCATGGCAACTTAATGTTTACTTGGCAGAGCTGAAATATAAGTAACTATATTTCTAGTTGACTTCAAGCATTAATGTCTTTGCCAAATGTCTAATTTCATCATGTAATGGTTTAAAACAGAATGTTGGATAGAAAGGTATTGCCTAACATGCTGTGCTAAGACTCTCCATATTATGTCTACATCAGACATATTTAATGAGCTTCTGCTTTAGACAGTGACGCCTGGCTGCACTGAGGAAACATCAGACCACGACAAGCTAATAAGGATGTCCATCCAACCTTGGGGAAACACCAGCACTCATTTTGAAAAACACATTTTAATATGCTGACATGTTTATGCTGCAGAATGATTAAACGGGGAGCGCTGCTGAAGGCAGCACGTTGCTGCCGGTAACAGGAATCTCCAGGATGACTTCACATACGCTGAAAAATGATGAATTGCTGGGTTTTGAGGGATATTCTTTCGCAGGAGACTGAATATGCCGAGAACATTTGGCTTTATTTTTATTTCATTTTTTTGTCTCGTGGCATCCTCTTTAGCTAATCAGCAATAGGAAAATGACAGGCTGGAAATGTTTTGTATCATAAGCAGCGGGATGATCATTTCCATATCATTCTGATTTTCCCTTCCAGTGATTTCTTTCTTTCTGCACGTCTTTGTCTTTCTCTCCATCACTCTTCTTTTCTCTCCCTCTGCCATGCCATCTCATCAATAAAGTATCCTCCATTCATGCCAGAAAATGATGGGCGTCTCCATGACAACAGTATCACTGTGCTCAAGGAGCAAGAGCGCAGAGGATAATAAAGAGGTGTGTGTGTGCGTGTGCATGTAGCCAAAAATTAAGAAAGTAGAGTATAAAAGAGACGAGAAGGACATGAACAGAAAAGAAGCAGTTGCATGGCGTGAAAAAGAGAGAGAGAGAGAGAGAGAGGAGATAGAGAAATAAATAGAAAAGGAAACAGGCAGGAAAGGAGAACAAGAGAAAGTGCACATGGGGAGAGGAAAAAATGGAAGTAAAAGCACACAAAGGGGGGAGCATAAAAGTCAAAAAGGGGGAAAAAAACAAAGGAAAAAAAACAGACAAGATGAATAGAAAAGGAGGAAACAGAAAGAGGGCAGAGAAATATAGGAGATGGACAGGGATTCAATTCAATTAATAGCAGTAAGCCTGACAGCCAAGTAGTAATCAAAAACCATCCAATTTCCCATTGACGTCAGGGACGAGATGAGGGGAGAGCGGGAAATGGAGACGGACAAAACGGCAGAGGAAGAAAAGATTAAAAGGAAAAGAGAAGGGGATTAAGGATAAAAAAGAAAGTAGCAGAGGTTACAGGAGAGTGGAGGAAAAACAGAGCGAGAGCAGCAAATGTTCTCACCAAGGTCACATGGTTCTCTAAGCCAACAAACTATCAGGCCAACATCACACAAACGGAGAAGCTAACGGCTAATAGTACCGTTAGCAGCGATAAACACGTCACTTAACATTTTTGCTATAATTGCTTTATATAATTCTCATGTTGTGCACTGACACAAGTCAGTGCACAACATGAACAACGTGCATCTATAAGTTTACTCTCTCAACTCATGGACTATTTTTTCAAGCTAGAATATTTTTGACTGTTGAGATTTATTTTAATGTAACACCAGTTTTAATAATAATAAAAAAAAACTAAATAAATGTGAGGCTCTGACTAAAGGCTTTCACACCTAGAGTTGGTCTTGTTTGGTTCGAATCAGCTGAACAGTTTGTTATCTTGCAACTTTTTTTCCCCTGTGGTTTGGTTTCTTTTCAAAGAGAGTAAACTCCAAGCGATTAAAAACTAAACAAACCAGGCCAGAACGTTTAGTCAGTTTATTAGTCAAATGGGTTCGGGGCCTGCAGAAGAATCAAATGTTCCAACATCTGTTACTTACAACAGCTAAAGCCTGCAGACCTCTGGTGCAACAGAGGATATGTGTTTGTGATTCAACTATAGGAATGTTGCAAAAAAAAAAAAAAATTCAATTAAAAAAAAATGCATTTACTGGAGAAAACTACGACTGACTAAAAACCCACTCCTCTTTTTACAAAAACAATAACTCTCAATCTCTATAATTTCGAACTCCTGACCTGTTAATGTGGTGAACTCCTGTGCACATTAGATTTATCATAAAAATAACACAACGTTTCAGAAAAACACACATTATACCAACAGTCACATGTGGTAGAGATACTGTGATGAGGCTGGTTAGAGGTTTTCAGACCAAGTCTTAGTACTGCAATGATCCAAAGCACAAGACTGAGATAAAATGGGATTACATTGAGGAGGCTTTTCATGCTCAACAATTCCATCACTATGATGCAAAAATTTACTCAATAAAAGAGTAAATTTTGTATTTTCTCAACGAGTCTTTGATATTTAGATATTTTGAGTCGGAAATATCAAAGTGTGAAAAAAGAGCAAAACAGTTGAAATCTGTATTAGGCAAATACAAAGAAAACTCAACATTTTGTTAGCAAGAGAAGGTTTTGTAGCTTTCCTCGAATCCAAAAGTTTGAATACATGTAGTCAGGGCCAGAGATAACCATTTTTTAAACTTCATAGTTTGGGTTAAATACTAAGTTTTCTAGCATTTAGAAAATAGAAATATTTTTTCTGACTAATCTAATAATCTTGTTTCTCAGACTGCGAAAAAAATTTTTTGCCTTCTTTTCAGCAGCAGGGTTGCAGTCAATTTGGAAATTGTACGCAACTGTGTATTTTGCTGCTATGTATTTCATTAAAGGTGAGAAGGAAAAAAAAACTTGTGTAAGATGTTTTGCAATGAATATCTCGTTACAAATGGGACACCTGTGGCTTTTAGACAGGTGCAACAAAATCTTTAAGTTATGGCGTTTGGTTTATGTCCAGGTATGGTTAGTAGTCTGGAAATTACGGTGCTTATGCTCTGTGTGGCTGATTTTTAAGAATCAGCCACACAGAGCACACAGAATTCGAAAGTAGAATTTTATGGCTAAATCTAACTCAAGTGTGTTTGGATTGACTGCTGGTGTGATCGTCTAGGTGACTAATTGAGATTTCTTCAAATCTTGTCATTGAAGTGAAGATTTCCGCATGGTTTCGTCAGTATTTGCCATACAAACACAGCTGTTTCTACACACACACACACACACACACACACACACACACACACACACACACACACACACACACACACACACACACACACACACACACACACACACACACGCATGCACACGCAAAAGATCACATATGCTTACACACAGCATATCAAATGTGACAAACTTCAATGGAAAATAATGAATAAATGTGAAGGAGGCAAGAATGGATGGCTGGATACCCCACTTTCATCTCTGGGTTCTTGGTGGAATCATTTATTGTGTTATCCATGCAGTTCGGTTGTAGGGTGAAAAACAGATTGCTGTCCCCCCTCCCCAGATCCCGTAAGGTAGTAAATAATTTGTGACTGACAGCGACAAATAAGCGCGAGATGAATTTATAAACACACTGAACCAGGCCAATAATTCAAATGTTAATATTTCGTTTGGTCTGTGTGCCAGTTGAACATCAAAGAAAAGGAGAACGTCTACAGAGATGAGCTGCTACAAAAAAACACAGAGGTTATCAGTGTTTCTTTAAATGTGTAGAAAAAAAGAAAAAGAAAAGAAAAGAAAAGCCCCCGGCCATCACATATAAAAACCTTTTCTATTATGCCCTGAGGTGTTCTTAATAAAGATCATGAGCTGCAAAAAAAATAAAGAAGAAAAGACCGACTGTGGCTTCGACCATTGTTCGACCTGCCAGTAAACACACACTCATGAACGAACACACACCACAGAGGAGGGAAAGAAAAAAATGATTGGCTTCTTGTGAGTGTGAGGAGCTTTGAAGATGGTGATTAAACCAAGGGAGTGTTCCCTACTGAAGAAGCAGGTGAAACGTTTACAGTAATAAACCTTGCAGTGCACAAAGGCTATGATGTCAAATGGTGAATGAGAGGGGCAACTGGGACTGGGTCAGAGGTCACACCTTGTTATCCCTCAGAGACTTTGATGAAATTTAAATCAGGTTTCATAAAACTCTTTGTTTCGTCATGTTACAACCATAAACATCAATCTGTTTTTATTAGAATTTGAGAAGACAGACCGATACAATTTGTCTGTAGAGTAGGATATCAGGTTTGCAAAATAAATGAAAACTATCTGTTGCTACTTTTTTAGGTGATAGTATGACTGTGAGTGCATGTCACAGCATCCCTCTTAAAAATAGTCCCTTCCTTGGGACTGAAGTCACATAAACAAGTGTGATTTCAACGACGAAACCACTCACAGGACCTGCATTTCATCCCATTTTTAATTTGTTGATATGCAATAATGCTCTCATTGAATAAATAGTGGAGAAAACCAACAATCCCGACAGCAGGGACAGTTTGGAGGGTTTTTAAACATCACCAATTGGAATTTATCATAGCGATAAATCAAGATTCTGATTACGATAAGAGCTTTATCACAATAAGTGATAAACGATGCGATAAATACCCCCCCTAAGAGTCATCTCATAAAGAGAAACTTGTATGACATGTAGAATCATCACACAGAGTAGCATAATTCTTTGTTTCTTGTAACTTTCATGTGAAAACTCCAAATTCAGCATCTCAGAAAACTCGAATGTTATGAATAAGGTGTTAGGTCTTGGTGTCATAAGCCAATTAAAACACCTGCAAACACCTGATCCTGTAAATATTCATCTGTCACAAAGTGGGAAAACCAGAAGGTCATTGCTTTAGAAGCGGGTTATTCACAGAGTTCTGTATCTACCTATATTCACAGAAAATTCAGTGGAAGGACAAATTGTGGCAGTAAAACATGGAACAGCACCAGGGAAAATAACTTGGTACTTGCAATTTGACAAAATGCAATGTCATTTCTTGTTTCATAATCGAGGACTCTACTATATTTTAGTGCGTCGTTGCTGAAATGTGCCCTGAAAGTAAACTTAACTTTGACTTTAAAACGAGTGTCATAGACTGATCTAATGTGATATTCAGACTTTGAGACACTGACTTGTGGCTTTTCTTTGCCTATAAATCATAATCATTAAAAATATAAAAATAAATAAAATCACAAAATATTTTTCTCTGTGTGATGAATCCCTATAAAATGAGTTTCACTTTGGGATAACTGCCAAAAATATATAAATATATATATGTACACCAAACAAGCTGGATTTTTTTCAGCAACGTTTTTTAAAAACCACGTATCTTGCTCCTTTCTCTTCACAATTATGTGCTGCTTTGTAATGACTGCAGTTGTAACGTGATCAAAATTTAAAGCGTTTAATGAGTAGGAACCTGAGGGCAAAACAAGTAGCTGTCTCTTTCTTTTCTTCTCGTTTCACAAGAAAAGAACCAAAAGTAACGGACTCTGCAGGATGGACCTGCGGTAGATTTAAGGGGCAGGTTAAGAGGCATATCTGTGACACTGTGAAATTTCCCTGGTGTCTGTAATCATTTGATGACTAGATAGATCAACCCAGTCCTGAGTGTGGAAGGGAAAAAAAACAAAAAAAACCCACAAATGGCATACTGATGGTGATTGGTAGAGAAGTGAGCGACTGATTGCAGCCTCACAGGCGCTGATGCTGACATTTTCATCCAATTAACACAGCTTACCGTCATCAAAGAAAACGAAACTTTGAGACTTCTCTGCATGTGCAGCAGGTGGGAGAAAAAAAAACGAAGAGAAAAAACAGTCAGTACAGACACTGGTAAGCAAATTCTTAGGTTTTATACAACCCCCCACCCAAAAACACACACACACACACACACACACACCACACACACACACACCCCCACCCCCACCCCCCCCCCCACCCCCCCCCCCCCCCACACACACACACACACACACACACACACACACACACACACACACACACACACACACACACTTTCTGGTTAACAGACACGCACATAAATATCTCTGATGAACAGAAGCTTCATTTCCTGCCCTCCTTTACCTCATACATATTAAATATCCTTTCCTAAAGAAGATCCCTCAATGTCGTATGGTTGTTGGCAGGACTGAGATCTTATCTTTATTACTATCTAAAGGCTGTTAGCAAAAACTGGATTTTATCACTGATAGCAGTTCTGCATTTGCTTGGTTCAAAGTAACCCCAAAGATGTCAAAGAAGAGATCAGGATGAGGAGTAAAATGACCAGCGTTTGAGTTGGTGCAAAGCTGTAATGAATGGCTTTAATTCAATGTTCTGATAACACCAGCAGAGGAAAATTGTTAATAAAATCTCACATCACTGGACATAAGTTGGTGTTCCTAATGTCTAACAGGGAGGAGCTGCTGGTATTCAGAAAACATTTCTTTCAATATTTGAATTAAAATGCATTTTTTGTTGTAAATTTTTAAAACCAAATAAGAAAAGGAGAAATAAACAAGAAAATGCTGAAATGTACTTTCAAAAGGTCCAACACTTTCATTAGATTTGTGTTGTAATTCCTGTTGCAAATGCATTATTAGAAAAAGACAAATACAAATGAAAAGGAAGAAAAACACAGGAGTAGTTAAAACATGCGTGGGTCACAGCAATATCACCTTGAGTTAAAGAATCAGACAAATTACAATTCATTTGAATCAAAGGAAAACGGAAAGAAACATTCTTACTGATGCAAAAACAAACATACTGACATTGACAATAACTGTATCTATAATACTCCATTCTTGTTATTTTGATGCAAAAAGTGATCTGTAATTTCTATTGTATCATAATATTGCAGGGATATTTCCAAGCAGTAAACTCAGGTGAAGTAATCATTCAGTCAGCTGACTGGCAGTGAGCAGCAACAGGGGCAACAGCAGCATTCTTGTTTTGTGGTCAGTTCTGATTTTGATCTATTCTGTTAACTTTTAAAGATGCAGTTTCACCCATATATCACTGTCATCACTGATAACAGATTATATTCAGTTGTACATTGTATAGTTTTTAAACCACACTAAAGCTTCACTGAAGTGCTTAGACTCCATCAAAAGATGGCCAGCTGGTGGTTTTCTTCAACTAAATGTCAAGAAAAAATCCCCAAAACCCCCCCTAGAAATAGTTACCTTTTAACCAGAAATAATAACGGTCAATATGTAGCAGATCCTGTTTGAAAGTTAGACTTGGGAATATCAGATCAATCCTGACTTTATCATTTGCTGTATCAGCCCTGCTGTCTCTCATCCCGAAGTGGAAATAATAATTCATTGCTTCCGTTTCATCAAACAAAGGCCGGTTGTAGGTTGTTCAGAACGTTGTTACCGGGCTTCTGAAATAAACATCCAGCCTCACATGTCCTTCCACTGCAGATGCAGCGACGTTCTGGTTTATTCCGGAGTGCATTTCAAATTTCTGTTTCGACTTGGTTCACTTTTCCTGACAAACAGGCAGCGGGTTACATCAGAGGACTCCAGAGCAGCCAGTAGTCCTCTGATACAGCAGGCTGGTGGAGGAAAGCCTCTGAGGTCATGTGATAAGGAGCTGCTGATAGTTCACCACACTAAGCCCGAAACAAAAGAGACGGAGCTTTGCTTTAAGTGACTAAGACGACTCTGGAACTCGCTTCCTTGCTCTCAGTGAAAGGGCTTAAAGCTGCAGTATGTAACTTTTATATAAAAAAATGTTTTTTTGTATATTTAATGAAACTGTATATGTCACAGTGTGATATGAGATGGATAAACTGTGAAAAAAAATGCATCTCCTGTGCTGCTATTACTGTCTGAAAAAATGTCCCAAAAACAACCAATCAGAGGCTGGAGGAGGAGCTTATCGCTGTCAATCAACCTGTGACTCTGCTAAAGGTAGAGAAACAACTTACTGTTGCATCAAAACTTGTTCATCTGCCATCGTCAGTGCCCATGCTAACTAGCCTTAGCATTCACAAAGCTGCATTGTAGCACAGGCCAATAGAGCGTGCATGACAGACAGCGCCAAGACCCGCCTCCTGCCTCTGATTGGTTGTTTTTTTGTTTGCACTAAGAAAAGGCAAAGGAGCTTTCAGCAGATTACCTGTCTCACATCATACTGTCACAACATGGTTTTTATAAAAGTCACATCCTGTAGCTTTAAATGTTAGAACAGAAAATCTGATCAGTTTTAAAACAGTTTTGAAACTTTCAATATCAGTAATTGGCCTGAGGTGAGAACCATAAACTCCCCCTGCTGTTTTTTTTCTTCTATTTTTTCATAAAAGCTCCACTTATGAAACCTCATCTTAACTCATGTAGCCTCTTTTTGATTTGGCACAACAGACCTGAGGAGCTGTATGTCTCTGTGGCAGATGGTAAAGCTGTGCTGACACCGAGACACAATGCATATGTTCACTCTGTGTGCATCCAGCTCTAACGCAATTATGTTATCTTCTGTTTATGTAGAGAAATGTTCTAAATCTTTGCACAGGGAACTATACACAGCACCAAGAGTTCAAGTCATGTGTTTTTTTTTCTGTAAACGTGATTTATTGTTTCTCTACATGGACATACAATCTGTGTCCACAGATGGGCCGTCAGATTTCCATGTTCTGATCACCATACCAACAACCTGTGTGTAGAGCAGCTTATCCAAATCTAAACAAATCGTCTCCCCAGACGTGCAAAACTTCTGCAATGCGGCAGAGACAGGTGAGAATTACCCGGGTCCAATCAGCCATTGTTTTAGTTTATCCTCTGCTCAGTCTGCTGGAACCGCTGATGGATTCGGTTTTATTGAATAAATTGAAAAATCTTCAGACAAAAAAAGCCCCACAACAAATATGCTGTGTAACTGTGTAAAAAAAACAAAAAACAAATTGAAGAGTTCCTACCTGTTTACATGTCAAACTTTCTTCCTTTTCTAGACGGACATTTTCAAGAATCCCCAACACTTTTTAAATCCCTTTTATTAAAAAAAATTCAATCTAAAATTTTCATATGAATAGAAGGTATGGATTTTACAGCAAAATTAAAAGAATTGAACAGGTGAGCCAACCTTTTTAAGATATTGCAATGGGATTATCGTCAGCGTTAGTCAGGTCAGCCTCACGTCTCTGCAGTCCGTCCAGCTTGCTGCAGTTCATTTTCTGACATGAACTAAAGGCGTGAACATATTTCCCCAGTAGCCTACTTGCTTCTCATTTTGGAATTGGATTTGAAATCTTTATTGTTGACTGTTGATTATAAGGCACTGAACAAATGGCCTCCTGAGAGCCTGTCTGGCTTCCTGCAGCCCTTTACATCCCTCAGATCTAACGATCACAAGGTTCAGGCTTGTTCACCAAGCCGATCGAGTGTTTGTGGCTCTTTGGAATAAACTCACCCTACACATCACACAGACTCCACATAAATCTTATTGGAAAACACCTCTGGGCTCTCAGTTTTTTGGTACATATAGGGAGCATTGTGAGGTGTGTCTTTATTTTGTCCTTTTGTACTTCTTCACAACACTTTGGTCAACTTTGCAGTTGTGCTATCTGAATGAGCTAGGACTGGAACTGTGGCCAAAAACAGAAATGAAGGAAGAATTCTGGAAATATAAATATATACTCAGTTGTATATTGGATCACTTGCCTGCACCCACATGGCATTGATTCTTCCTTTTTCAGCTAGAACACCTTCACCTTTCATGGAAGGTTGTGTAAAAGTGCATTTAAAGGAAGATGGGATCTTTTCTGCCGAGGTCAGACAGTGTTGTTGGGCAACATGCCCTGGATCAGAGTCTCTGCTATAATTCATTTCAGCAAACAGGTTTAGGTCAAGACTCTGCACCAGTCAAGTCCCTCTACACCAAACTGGAATAAAGCTAAAGCAACAACTTCTTGCGTGAGCAAACTTGTTCACGTGGGATTTTAAATGCGTTTCTTATGGAATGGAATTGTAAAATTATGTTTTTTTTTTCGACATTAACAGAATTAATAAAGTTTCGAGAACATTTGAAATGGAGATGCAGCTACTGACCAAAGCTGGAATTTGACTCATTCTTTCATAGATGTTTATGGCAAACGTCAGCTGGCCCACTGTAGCCAACACACCTCCAGCCATTTAAGCTGACGTGGTCATATTAGTCAAATCATTTTGAAATGATTTCGCAAACATTTGAACTGACGCCTCCCGTGCTTTGTTCTGTTCACTTTTCCATGCAGCATAAACCAAAACAAAAGCCACTCATTGTCCACAAACGTAGAGCTCTTGCCATCTTTTTCCTGAGAGTAGTCGGGGATTTTTGGCGACCCGATGGGTCCAAGATTCCACGGTAAACTTTAAAAGTCAGTGAGCTTGAGCGCTCACATGCCTGACGGAGCTTTAGTCATAGTCTGAATGCACAGATTGACAAAAGGAAATTTTCAGAGGACAAAACAAAAGCTTACAGATACAAAGTCTATTGTAGATGTTTATAAAGCCATCGATGTACACAAGTTTAGAAAGCTACGGCTTCAAATGTAAATCCATGCAGCTGTCAACACAGGTTAAAAAAATCCTCCTACCAAATGATTTGTTTATCTTTTCTTTGGAATCCAGCTTTTATTTTACTTGCTCAAATGCTCACAGTGCACTTTTACCTGAACCTTTGCCCTCCAGTGTGTAACCTTCCTGTTGACTCACTAATTTATGCACAGAATATTTATAGCAGGGATGGAGGATGATGGGTTAGATCTGTCAAATCTGCGGATTTAAATCTGTT